TTCCATTGTTGGAGCATTTGTTGAAGATATTTGACTTGTTCTGTGTCCAGTGCTGTTGGCCTGTAATTGGATTTGCTTGAATGCAATGAATACTGTACTATACTATACTATACTATACTAATAAACTGCTTGGAGGCCTGTGGTATAGATGTAGTATAGTTTTGACACTAACTATTTAGCCGGTGCCTTATCTTACAATGTATTTTGTCCATTCTGTAGGGAATATAGATTGTAACTCCAACAAATTGCAACAAACTGACTTGATATAGAATATCACATGAAGAGTTTTAATCTTATTTTATGTCATAAATGTCATTTTAATAAGTTTATAGTTCATTGTACTTTTATGTCATGTATTTTATAATGTATATCAAGTATCCAGCTTTACCATCGCATTTGCAGTTCAGTGGTGTGTGAATATGGTAATCATGTGTTTTGCCTGATGATCGCTTTATGAGCTGAAACATGTAGCCAAGCTAATTTTAGCCTTGACCGTTATATTTTTGTGTTGTGACGGACTCTAATAAAGAAATTGTATAATTCATATTGTAGTCTTTTTGATTATGACACCATGTAGACTGGTATTTTTGGAAGTCAAGCAGTATATTCCTCTGTAAGATTGGTAACCATGTACCAGACTACATGATGACATAACCTAGAAGGCTGTGAAATCATCCAGTTCTCTTTCTGTAAATGAAACGGCAACATCTGGGCCTGTGATCTGTTTGAAGGTCTGCAGCAGCCCCTTATCTGTAATTTTTAAGTTTCTTTATACTTGATATGAGCTGTAACTTAAAGCTCTTGAACATATTGAGACGCCACTAGTTGCTCAGCATATCAGGATACTCGGTGACCTTTATGGAACTCATATGTACATTACCATGTTCACAAGAGTCCTGCCACTGGACTTTGTCCAGACCCTCACACATCTCTGATTGCAAAACTGTGTTGCAGGTTCTCTGGGGACGTCAGTATTCGACACAGAAGTTTATTTGGTTGGAGCATCAGGCGGAGTGTACGCTTTGCTAGCAGCGCATCTCGCCAATGTTCTCCTGGTAAGAAATTACTTCTTGTCGCTGGGATCCATTAAATCCTTGACCTCTTTGTCTCCATTTTTTCACAGTCACTCTCATATTTCATTGTGTACATCTTACAGTCATTTTCTTGCTTACTGTCAAGAATTTTCCATTCTAGTAAATTCCATAGTTTGCTAAATAAATACTGAAAATGCAATAATGTATACATTATTAATATTAGTGTTTGGTGTCATTTGAACTGTCCCTTAATAGTACTGCCCATGCAGTTGTACATTTTATGTCCCTGTTTTCTCCACACTAGTCATTGATTTTAATTATGTTTCTTGTGTCCACTCCCCCGTATGCCTTCATGGCATAGTGCTTAGTTAATAAAGCACAGGGACAACATTACATTACCTATAAGGTAGTAATATAATTTATCTAAAATATCTCTTGGGCACATCATATTTTGAGTAGGCAACTTTACAGAACTACAAGTCCCTTGTCTTCATTGATGTCTCACCTATATCAATTTTCATTCCCACTGAATTTTGAAAGTAGAATCTGCTAAGTTTGTAATTATGCAATGATCTGTGCCAGTATTTGATGATGATGCCTCCTCAGAGATGTTTTAGGTGGTGTTTAAAACCAAGTTTGGTTCCAGTTATTCATTCAGATGAAATTTTTGAAGTTTAACTGTCATAAACATGAAATGACTGAGAACCCTTAATTAACATTGTAGGCAATACAGAAGAGCTTCGGGGTGATATATTGCTGATGTGATGACAAGTCTGCTTTCACTTTGTATTACAGCCATTATTTGTATTTTAATCATGTATATTTTGTTGTTTCAGAACTATAACAACATGGAGTTTGGGATTGTTAGATTAATTGGTATATTTGTTGTTGGTAAGTCCATGCTGAATCACATTGTAGTTTATGCATTTGAAGGGTTTGGCACAAGAAAGTATGTACAGTATGCCTTTGCAGTGTGGGAGTGATGTGTTGTATAGAATGTGTCTGTGGGGTTTTATGTAGTTTTGTCATTACTCCGATGACAACCCACTTCTTCGGAACAGTTTGTTGGTCCTGTAAAGGACTGTGGTTGCTGAGATGCTTGACCGGTGAGGTAGCGCGGCGCGCGCCGGTAGGGGGAGAGGTTAGTTGCGGTGGTTTGACTGGCCACAGCGCGGCTGCTGCTGGAGGTTGCTTGATCGCTGTGTGGCAGGTGAGTTGGAGTTGCGTGGCTAGCGCAGCGCGGTCGTAGGAGTGATGAGGCAGTGGCTACGCCAGATGCCTAGTGGGTCGGACAGGGACACGACCACCGGCGAGTCCAGGCGAGGTGCCCCAGTGAGTCGGGTGTTAAGAGAGCCGAAGGGCCAAGGCAGTCGTGCCTGGCACAGCCTGCCGATTCCTCCGAAGACCGAGCGCTGGCGACGAAGCCTGCTAGGTGATGTTGCTTGGTGTGGCTTGATCATAAATTGATGACCGACTGATACTGATGCTGTAGGTTTGCGGCTGCTCCTTTTTATACACTGCTCGGTGGGCGGAGCGAAACTTGAAATTGAGGAGGAAGAATTTTCAGGGCGCTGATTGGCTAGCGCGCGTGATGATGTAGATGCGGGGCTAGCAGCAAGCTCAGTATAAATGCGAATGTTTGGAGAAATTTGATTGGTTAGCGCGCGTGATGGTGAAAAGTGATGTGAAGGTTGCAGAAAATGCGTGATAATGTGGGATGTTCCCACATGTCCATAATCATGACATTCTGTAGTGTGAACCTTATTTTTCTGGACACACATGCTGTAATTGGAGATACATTCTAATATAATTTTTTGGGGCAACAAAACCATGTTTTACCCATCAGAAATAATAGCCTTTGTCTGAAACAACTTTAACCCTCAAAAGGCTGAATTTCTTCTAAATATATACACATTTAGTTTGTATGTCATATCTCTGCTACGAAGCCCAACCAGCTAATGCTGATTAGAGAAACTGTCGCTGTTTGTTCTGAGAACCATACGGAACATACGGATACACTATGGGCAGAATGTAGAGCTTTAGTATGTTAATAGAGGTGGTACATATAGTAACCATTGGGCTTTAAATAGTTAAGGATTCACTATACCTTTAATGGAAGAAGCATTCTACATTCAGTGAAATCTTATGGTATGGCAGTTTGGATTCTATTTTGTGTTGAGAATAAGATAACTTTCAAATTATGGCATAATGATTAATGTTACTCCCTGATGATGACACATCCTAACATATGTTTTAAACAAAGCACAGCCTTCTTATGATGCACTGCCTGGACTTGATCTTGATGGCCTCTTTCAGGACATCTTAAATAAGGGCAAAATGCTGCATAAAATTAACTAAGATGAGATTAGCAACCACTGTCAGTCATCCCTGTGCATGATATATGTGATATGAATTGTATGGTTTTAGGTAAATTCGTTGTTTTCCAATTTGTGTTTTAAAGAATTATATCTTATCCCAAAGGAGTTTGGGATAACAACTGGCTATGGGCCGGACGACCGAGGGGCTGGAATTTGAGTCCTGGTAGGATCAAAAATTTTCTCCAAGATATCCAGACTGGCTCTGGGTTCCACCCAACCTCCTATGTAATGGTTACTGGGGGCTCTTTCCCTGGGGGTAAAGCGACCAGGGCGTGAAGCTGACCACTCACTCCCAGCTAGTGCCAAGGTCAAGAAAATGTGGATCTATATATTCACGCCCCCATATGCCTTCATGGCATAGTGCTCAAGTATTTAAGCACAGGGACAATTTTTTTCTTATATATCCCAGATTCTACAAATGCAAAACTCTGAAACCTGAAGTTCTCTAACATGGAGGTACAATAGAACGTCAGTTTCATGAACTTCACACAAAGAATCAAGCAGAACACATGATAACTTTGTGCTTAAACTGTGTGTTTGTTGAATCCATAAATGGTTGGATTCACAATATTTGTGTACCATGTCCAGCGATGACTGACTGGTAAATTGTGATGTCCACATGTTTCATACCTGGAAGTACTGAACAGAATTATCTTATTTGAAGTCTGCACCAATGTTTTTCAACCAGTGGGATGCAATAGTCAGTTCGTTTGGATGTGACATCTGAAAAATACAAACTTCTGTTAGTGATTATTGTAATACCAAAATGTGCGTAGTTGTGAAAATTATCTAGAAAAGGACAAGCTCTGTTTCTGCTATGATGACTTTTTTTTTTGACATGACTTGTAGGACATGAGATATTAAATGTCTACACCATAACTTGTGAGGAAGATTTAATTTTGAATCCTAGCGAACCAATATAGCCATTCATCTTCTCAGAAGAGACTTATCCTACATATATATCAATCAGTACATGACAAAAAATGTAGATCTGATTAAGATATATATCCTCTGTTTGAAACGTTTTTGAATATAGTAAGTATTTAATAAAATGCAAGTAAAGGCAGTTTTTGACTGTGTGTAATGTAATATCTGTAATGCAGTTATCTTTGTGAAAGGTTCATGTCAACGGTAAATGAAGTTCGTCATTAGCAAGGCAGTGCAAAATAGTAAAGATCAGGTTTGGAAAGTATGTATGCAACTTTTGTCTGTTAGAGGTACACCATTTTGCATGAAGCACTACTACGTCCATGAAGTAACAAATTTGTGAACGGTGTCTGTCTTCTTGTTCCAGCAAGTGCTGATGTTGGATTTGCAGTGTACGACAGGTACGCAGCCGAACAGCCGGGCCCGTCTGTCTCATATGTCGCGCATCTTACAGGAGCTCTAGCAGGTCTCACAATAGGACTTCTTGTTCTCAAGAACTTTGAACAAAAGTTGCATGAGCAACTCATGTGGTGGGTAGCCCTCGGTGTTTATGCGGCATGCACCATCTTTGCTGTCCTCTTCAATGTGTTCAACCCTGGCTACCCCTGATGATGTCATCATTACAACGTTGTTATGTTTTCATCGAGGTTTCAGCTGGCCACACTGGAACAATTACCATAGAAATGTGAAAGTTTTGAAATAATTCTCAGTTCAGTATTGAACCTCATGTACAAGTGGTGTTCAGCAGTGATGACAGCAGTGTATGTTGGGTATGATATGCGAGTCAGTATTACCAGTTGCGTTATATTAATCAAGGCATTGAGAATTTAAGTTACATCTTGTAGTCATCAAAACTTGTGTAATAAATAAGGCAGGCCTTCGCAGTAGTGTCATGCTGCCTGTAACCGACATTCACCATGACACGTCACCAAGAGAGAAGGAAAAGTTTGGTGGTATAATATAATAGTGAGAGATGTCATGCCTTGATCAGTCATTTAAAGCAAACTTCCAGATTAAGAGAGAAATGGATAATAAAAGTGAAGTCTGGGGATCTTCCAAACCCTACTAAGATGAAACCTAATTCATCATCTAGCTGTTACAGTTATTTCTACTAATCTAAACTACGAAATGCTCGTGTGCACATGTTCAGTAAATGTTGTGGATGAAAAGTGATGATTGATGCTAGTCAAAAATAAAATTAAAAAGAAAAGTGTATGTGTGTGAAGAACATGGGAAAGGAATACAAATAATGTCATATATTTAAGATTGAAAACATCCCAGGAACAGACTGACCATTTCTGCCTATCAGAGAGTTAGAAGCCAGGATATACTGCTTTAGTTAAAATATAAAGACATTTGATGATGACTCTCTTTTAATTGTTGTTTATTTATGAGTGTTTGTGTATAACTTAGGGAGATTATACAATCACATGTTATAATTAATTGTATTATCACATTCTCCTTTTTTTCAACAAGGAAATTCTTGTCTTTATACCAAAGAAATGTAGGTAATGAAAATACTGCATGGCTCTTCATAATCTTGTTGAGGTTAGAACAGAACACTTGTAATTTGGAAGCCATATTGCAGAAGTGTAGAGAAGAAAGTTACACGTATAACATTCATTCCTTTTTTTTTAAACAAGAGAAGTTCAATATGGATTTATGTATAACCAAAATTATTAATCACTAATTTCAACTAACAGAACAGATACAAATGAGTGTTGCAAATTGACACAATATTGTACCATAGTAAGAAATGACATATGTTCTTTATATATTTCACAAGGGAACCTAGTAAACAGGCTGAAGCGTGTGAGTATAGCAAGTAGTGAATTGAGTTACCAGTCCAAAAATTGTAGTTTAATGTTTAAAGAATGCCTCATAGGCAGACCTCTTTCCCATTGCCAAGCCTTAAAGTTCCCAAATAATTTAAAGAATTTGAATTTGATGTTGGTGTTGGATATCTGTAGAGCAAACAATATCAGTTGCGTTCAGCTGACACTTTTGCCATGAACCTACATGTTTATCTCATTAACTGATAGTGAAATGAAAGAATGGAATAAATGTTTTTTATGTTATGTATGGGGCATATATTTTATGACAAACCATGTAGGATAAATTAGTAAAATGTTATTTGAGCATGGGGAATGGTCATATGGCTATGTTAGTCATATCTGCATATTGCTACGACACAGTTTGGCTTTGGAACTGAGCATGATGTTTCAGACATTTAATTTGCAGCAACAGCTGGTGAGAAGAGTTACAGAGCAATTAATTGACAGATTCATTCTCTATTTTCATGTGACCCAGACTAAATTCAATATGACCCCCTTCTTTAAGTGACATCTAATATTGAAACAGAGAATTTTACTTAATACATAGCAGGATTTTTTGTATGACAAGAAGAAGAGACAAATCAGTTAAAATCTGACACATTTCTGTAATATATGCGGAATTAATGAAGGGAATAATTCTGTTTGTTGCAATTTGTGAGCAATCCTTATGTTGCTTTGCATCGAACAAATTGTATCTGGTTTGCATCAGTCATTTCAATAAGATCATTCTGACTTTGTGTTTTTATCTCACTAGGACCACAACTGTGTTCTACATTTGCAAGCCATCTCCTTTGGAAGTAAAAAAAGGAATAATTTTAATTCATTACCTTTACAATTAAAATACTTACGATAATTAAAGGGCGGTTAAGTAACTGAAAGGTGGAGGAAATTACATAATTAGGAACATCAGAATTTGTTTCCTTTGTCCAGTGCAGGTAGGAGGATCAAATCAGGAGGCTTGAGGTATGTGGTAATGAACCTTCGGGTTCCATAAAATGCTGGGAAATTCTTGAGTAGCTGCAGATTTGGCTTCTCCCCAAGAAGGGCTCAGCTCCGTAAGTAAGTAAGTAAGTGCTGCCATGTAGGCTGGGATAGTTAAGATACCAGAAGTTTCAGAGGAGCTTATCTGCCTCCGTCTTCATGGACTGTTCTACCCTGATGACAGAGGCAACATAAGAGACTAGTCTACATATTCCCCATTTTCAAAATCTCAAACATTGCATTACTTGTATTCAGTTTTAGGACAGATCTTGATCAGAAAAATAATTACGAGCTGCAAAACCAAGGTTGAATGTGTGCACATTGTTTGATGATATTTTTAGATTTTCAGTAATAAAGAACACCAACAGAGCTCTGTGTGGACTCCACAGAACATGATTTGGGAATACACATGACATGAAGCCAAATGTCCATGCAGAGAACTGCTTCCCACATTAAAACTTCTGTTAAACATATCTTTAAGTGGCTGTGGGTTCAGTTCAACCCCAGGATACTGATATTTGCACTCTGCAGTTTCTCTTGTCATAATTGCCCAGTTGCACGAAATTAGCCCTTCATTCAGACAAATATGGCATATAAAGCATAGAAAATGATTCTAATATGCACAAAATTGGGAAAAATTGCGCTAGAGGTTTATGAGAGTAAGAAGGTTCCATTATCCCTGTGGAAAGAGCCCCCATTGACTCTGGGAAAGATGCCTTTACAGATACCATGAGAACATTTCCAACACACCTGTAGGAGTGCATCAGTCTGAAGATTCTGTCTTCTGGGCTGTCATGCTGTGTGGTCTGATAGATCATCACCACTGTTTCAGAGGTACCTATTTTTTTACATCTTGAGGCTAAAAGATGTAGGCATCAGGTTCTTCTGCAACAGTATCTAGGCCCTGTCTGCTGGAATGCACTGCATGGTACCCCAGACAGTAACTTCATAGTCACAGCTGTGATAACCCAAAATCTCACATGCCTCAACCTGATTTATAATCAGCCACTTAATGACTGAACTGTCAGAGGATTTATAGCACAGTAAAACACAAAGTCCTGTATCAAGAATTTGACTGTTTACTGTGTTGGAGACTTTGTCTCTGTGGCTAATGTGTAAATAAGGTCTCGGTACAAGGAGAGTCAGTAGAGAAGTAAATGTACCTCACAGAAGCGTCTTTGTTTGGTCATGCACATGTCAAACTTATCAGAAAAGATGTTTCATTTAGAATTTGTAAGAAAACATATTTTCATTATGGATTTCGTGTCAAATAACTAAACTTTTTATATCACTTTCACTGTTAATGCAACAATACTTGATTCTTCCCCTTTGAGTTATGTTCTGACATGAATATTTTTGTTGCAAGGGGAAGTGTTGATATATCTTCAATATTCTAGCTCTTTGAAATCATCATCAAACAGAACTCAGTTTGCCAATATATATGGTCTATCTTCAGTATTCCATCCTTTTGAAGCCATTATCTTTAGTAGTTATAACAAATCAGCCCACCAGTGTACTTCGTTGAAAATTGAACATAGCAGTGAAGTGAAAAGTGAGTTCAAACCATTTAAATTTTCGTTGAAAGAGAAAGTATTGTCTTTAAGTATACCACCCATGGAACTGTAATATTCTACAGGTTTTAGAATAAACAGGAATTCAAATCATATTTCCTTACCTGTATAGTGTACTGATCTGAATATAAAATTTATAATGTGTAAATGTATAATTTTAAAGGAAAATGAATGGAATTACGAGGTATATATATGAGACACCTGGTGGGCTGAGTAGCTTATTAAAGAAGAAAATGAAGAGATAAGAAATAAATGTTTCTTAACACAAATACCTAAAGATAAAATAGGGGTTATTTTGAATTTACGAACTTCACTGTTGTTCTGCCAGACTTTCATGTCTTCACTAATTTGATGGATATTAAATTAATTTTCCGCTGAAAACACCAGCTACTCCATAGCCATGAATTGTTCTGTTGTTGATACTATGTAGTCTCAACACTGACATCCTCAAATAGCCAGCATAATAAAAATTGTGTTAATTAGAAGAAAATACATCATTTTATAAGCTCATTTCAGAACATTTATGCTTGTGTGAAAATCGCATATTATGCATGTGTAAAATATTGTTTGGAAAGATAACAGAATAGTGGAGTAAGCTTCATATCATCAAAAGGCTACTTGACTCAAACATTCTGTCAAGAGTCTTTGATTTTTAGTTTTGTGACAGACATAACTGTGAATGAATCAATTTATTATTCATTGTCTACACCTGCTCTGTTGTGGATATCTCATTCCATTCCTTTTGATATATAATCTCAGTTTGCTCTTGTTCAGGTGAGCTATGTTCCTTGGTGGCCACTCGAAAACTCAATATGGTGTTTGACGTTTAGCAGGACAGGAAGAAAATGAACATTTTGCAAGGATGATAAAAGTTTAAAGCCCATCTCTGAGTTTTGTTTATATTATTGGAGTTTATCTTACAGGCTAGGTAGTGTTTCTGAGGTTCATACCTCAGTGTACAAGATTGCAGAGATTTATTGCATGTCTCCTTACTGGAGTGTCTGAACTTCAAAGTATAGTAGGAGTTCCTCATTTTTGTCCGCAAGGAATCAAATTTCTGGTCATTGTTCTTCCACTTTTGTTGGAGGTTTTGTAATTAATCATAATGTTAATTATTATAAATCACAGAAATTATTGAACACCTGCTTTCAGGAGAGAGTAGAGGTTAGAAATGCTTAAATTTGTGTCATTTTTCAGAAACGCGGGGGAAAAAAACAATTGCATACACAAGGAATGGATTTTGTTGCCAGTCATGACACCAAATGTTACAGTTACAAATCAAAAGAATGCAGTAATATTTATAATAATTAATGTAGGCTCAATTAATGTATTAATTATATATTTATATAGAGTATGATACACTTGAACATTGTTTGTTTCCAATTATTATTATTATTATTATTATTATTACTGTTGTACCAATTACCTCAAGATAATATGGCAGCTTTATATTTTAATATAGGAAGTCTTTTTTTTCTTTGTATAATATTATGAATGTACTGCCCTGCAGATATAATTCCATGTACAATACTGATGCCGACAGTGTCAATCCCATACATGTTTGACGTACTACTGCCAGTAATAAGATTCCAACATTGTAAATGCAGCACTGAAAGTTTCTCTCAGCATGCCAAGTTATGTCTGGAGAATAACAAACCGAACATATCGAGCTTTAATAAACCAGAAACTGATTTGGAAATAACTTTGTTTTATTCAGACATGTTATGAAGGGTTCCTATTATACCACTAAGTGTGCCCACCCTATTTCAACCATTACAGGATCACAGTCTTCTGCAGTGTGACACCCGGCAGTCTGGTACGTAGTTATCAGCATTTCAGAGGAACCTTCTGCCTTCATGTTTAGGGGACAAGAAGAGATTTTAATCTTCAAATTTACCATTGTGAGAACCTCAGTTTCCATCCATCTGTGGCCAGCAATTCTAGCAGGTAGGGCCTTAAGCCTGTTCCTATGTGTATCTTATCCTCAAGCTAACTTGATCTGTTCAGATAATTTCAGTTCTAGTCCTTCAAAATGTTGAGTTATATTAATGTCTATGATTTTTAATTTTATTTGTACAAAGTCTAAAATGTACGTGGTTATCAGTTTACCCATTGTTTTATGATGCGAGACTTGGTCTCTTATTAAGGGATGAACTCAGGCTGGACAAGTTTGGGAACGGTGCTGTGGGGAACATGTAGATGTAAGAGAGAGAGAAAGTAACAAGAGGTTTGAGAAAACTGCATAATGAGGAGCTGCATACTTTGTATTCAAATGTTATGACTCATATAAAGGTGGATGAGAAAGCTGTAGCATACATAGGAAAGATGGAAAAAATGTACTACAAAATAGATATATATTTCAAGAGAACAGAGTTCTAGGCCTAGGTCAAGAGAACATGAATCTATACATTCATTCCACCATACGCCTTAATGGCGTAGTGCTTAATTAGTTATGTCAAGAACAACTTTTCCTTTATCTTACAGTTTTGTGTTGCCGCACAAGTTTGTGACCCGGTGATAGAAAGGGAATATTGTATGACTTCACCAGGTTTGTTGGCAACACTGAAATATTAACGGAAACATCTTGCAGGACTTTCGTCTGCCCTTCACCAAGTAAAATGGCGTTTGGAGATTATCCTGCGGAATACAATCCCAAAGTTCATGGGCCGTATGATCCAGCACGTTATTATGGACGTCGTAAGTTTATATTGTCAGGAAACATGTTGCTTTTAATTTCTGAAGAAATTGTACAGTGTTTTGTACACTGAAAAGACCAGCTCTCCAAAAGAGAATGGTTTTAGTATGAGTTTCATATTCAAACTCGTTCGATTTAATTTCAGCCGATACACCTTTCGGTCAGTTGAAGTTGAACGAAATAGGTGCTTGGTTGGGACGTCGAAATAAAAATCCAAGGGCCGTCATGGGTGCAGTCAGTCGAGGTAAGATAATACATAGTTATCCCCAGTGTATAACGTTGCTGTATTGTACGAAAAAAAAAACCCTGACATTGGCTTTCATGACGCTGGGATGTAAATTAAAGTTTACTGTTCCGACATTCTCGCATCAACTGAATTGTATGAGCTGTGTGTTATTGAAGAGATTAATTATTTCCATAATGGTATTCACCATTGGACTCTCGACCAAAACAGCGTACTTCATATAACCAGAAGATATTGGCAGCATAGAATTACGGCATTTGAATTTTGTAATCACACCGAAAATAAATGTAGTAGTGATAATTAAATAAATATGGTACTTGTGATCAAAGTGATGAGTTTTTGGGTTCCACGATAGGGAATTTTTTAAGAATTGTGTAATTAAGTCCTCAAGGAAGATCCCCTCTACCATAAATTGCGAATGAGTCCCATAGGGCTGTACTTTAAAATGATAAGTAATGTGTGTGATGAAAGGATTGGCCTTGAAGCAATATTGCATCATGTCACGGAGACTCCACATACCATTGAGTCTTATGTGTGTCTCGCTTTCATTTATGCAGCTAAATTATTTGCAGAGGAATGTATCAGATGATCAGTGTGTAGTGCAGTTGTCTGAAAAATGCCATTTGTATGTGATGCGGTGGTTCTTACGGCAATGAATACGAAGAGTAGAGTCTAGTGAATTGTGATACTGCATAATTTGAATTATTAATATTGAATATTGAATTAATCACGTCCCAGAAGATGGCAGTCTTCATAGTCATTTCCTTGAGAGCCTCAAAGGTTATATGGAATTATATGTGTTGCAGCTTGGTGGAGATGGCAGCACAAGTATGTCCAGCCAAAGCGTGCAGGAATAGCTCCGGTCTTCCAGATCATCACTGGTTCAATGTTATTCTTCTACATAATTAACTATGGAAAAATAAGTAAGTGTCATGTAGGTTCAGTTTCAGAACTAAGTACAGGCCTAACTCATCTCCATGTAAAACTTGTTTGCCTGTCATAGTTTCTGTTTGTATTGATTTACAAAGATACCCCCATCTTTACTTTGTCACCACAGTCTATCTGTTTCATGTTTTCTTGGTGTTTTCCAGTACATGGCTAAACCATTTTGTTTCCTGGGTAAGTATAATTCCCGTCACAGTATCTGTCTTGAAGCCATTTTTTTAACATATCGAGACTGATTATCATCATTTCTGTTCTGATTCGATTATAAAATTTTGAATTTCAGTTACTTCACTAAAAATTAAATTTCAGGTCCTCCCAGGACTGAATTTGAAGATTAGTGTCATCTGGATCATGATGCTGTGTATTTTGGTAGAAGTTTACCAGCGTTTGTTTGAAACATCAGGAAACTTCTACCAGGCTGTATGGCATTGTATGCCAGAAGACAGGAACCTTATCTCTCTCCATGATTTTTGTTTGCTATATCTCAGAAATTTCGTATCCAGTTTCAACTCAGCTGACCTTGTTATGCGTACATGAAGTGGGCACAGATGTGGCAATTTGCCCTTCTTTCTGTGTTCCCTCATGTCTTGTCTCTGAAACTTGACAGTTTACATGGTAAATTGCATTGTTTAGAGAGGTATTAGTGAGTGGAAGAGTTCTGTCTTGTGGGACATAGTGCTCTGTAGTAAATGAAAGTTAACTGCTTGACTTTCAATGAATTATGCAGCACTGTATCCCAGAAGGCAGAACCACCGCTGACAGCTTCATATCGTACTTCTTGATAAAGAGTCTGCAACACTGAGAGAGTTGTGTTGTGTGATAAGGAAAGCGTCAGTTACTAGTTGAGTTGTGTTCTGTTCTGTGCCATGTGCTGCCTTTACAGTGCTCTACATTTGCAGTTTGAACATTTGTTGTGCAGTAAAACATCGCTATCATTTAATATTTAGCACAGAATATCCTTAATTAAGTAGCTCTCATGTTGGTATCTTCTCATTCAAAATCTCCTGATTAACAGCTTCCATCTCCTCTCAGCCCACTTTGTACGTATAAACTCGATTAATATCTGTTGAAACTGCAGTAGAGTGGTGAATACTCTCGCTATGTATTGAGGAGCTCCTGGACTCAACCATTGGCTAGAAGACTTGGTAGCAAAAGGGTTTTCATGGTTCCTTCAGCTCCACAAAATGCATAAACAGTACCTTAAATTAGGCCATGACCACTTTTTTCTAAATGTACTTTAATTAATTAATCACTAATTTTATCGTTAGATGCTAAGTAATTTGGATTACTGACAGCATCATTAAATAAACCATAACATCATAAGTAAATAAAAAATACTTGTGCCCAGTGCCAGGTAAAGTGAGGTTATATTTTTAGCCTGCTTTACTTATTTAAAAAAAATAAAAGGAGGTTTATGAGATCACATGTCTGGCTGTGTGTCTGTGCCTTCCTTCAACAACTTTTGAATGACATGACACTTGAAAACTTGAATAGTGGAGCCTGAAGATATGACTGTTGCTAGGCAACAGCTCAGTAAACACATTCCTGCAGCAACAAATACACAGGCAACACACGTTTTGTATGGAGTATGTGTTAGTATCAGATACTGAATATGCATTAAAAGGAAAGTAAGTGATCAGCTCTTCGCAGAACTTCTTGTATAATAGTAATGTCAGCTGGTGATAACCAGAATGTGCAGATGTAAACAATATTAAATAATAGGTTATGGTCTTCTGGGGTGTGACTCCGTGTAGTCTGGGAGATGGGGCGAGGGAACTTGTTGCTTCTGTCTTATACATCTTCAGAGCAGGAGACAGATGCAGCAGGTGCCCCTAAAATGTTGGTACCTATTCATAATGTTATATTTTAGCGTCCTGTTGCACTGATTTTCATCAATTTTGTATACAGTGGCCATCTTGTAGTGCACACAGTTTCACCTGTCACTTCACAACATGTTTCGGCAACACAGCGCCATCATCAGGTGTCCCAACTACATCAATCNATAGGTGATTAGTTCTTCCCAGAACTTCTTGTATAATAGTAATGTCAGCTGGTCATAACCAGAATGTGCAAATATAAACAATATTAAATAATAGGATTATGCTCTTCTGGGGTGTGACTCCGTGTAGTCTGGGAGATGGGGCGAGGGAACTTGTTGCCTCTGTCTTATACATCTTCAGAGCAGGAGAGGGATGCAGCAGGTGCCCCTAAAATGTTGGTACCTGTTTACCAGATCATACAGGACGGCACAGCATGGCATCCCAGATAACAATCTTGAGAACCTGTAATTTCTTATAATACCAGATATTTGACATATATTTTAATATAATCCTCTCTTTAAATATCAGAATTACTGGGTTTTCGGACTGTATGCAGTGGTTGAGGTTAGCCCCTTTTGAGGGACCCAACAGCATAGGTGTCTTCCCCCTTCACTTAAGGATGGAAACAGATCCAGTTTCTGAACTGTTGTGTTATCTAGTTTTTAGAACACCGGGTGATGGAAAACCAGTAATTCTGATTGATGTTATACAACATCATCAGCACCTTTCAGAATTCAGTCTTAAAATTGTTCGTTCATGTGGATTGCTTGAGAAGTTTTGGTTTACTTAGTAATAGCTTTCTTCAAAACTGCTATAGTAAGAAGGGAGCCACCCAATTCTCGAAATACTGAGGGGGCTACATTCTTCATTCTAGTTCCAAACTATTCATGAATATCTTTCTTTTTCCAGAGCATCACAGAAACTACAAGTACCACTGGTGAACAGCTTGAAATTCTAGCTTTCAGTTGATCTAGGTTTCTTGATCCTGTTATAGAAGGTGGCTTTGAAGCATGTTCAGTTAATGTAATGTTGAGAATATAATGTGTGAACTAATAAAGCATAGATATGTGTAGAAGTGTTTTTATAATGTACCAAATCGCTCTGTAGTGGAATTTGTCACAGTCCAGCAGTTCAGATGTCTGGCATGCTAAACAGTTGCGTAGAGATTAGGTTGCAAATTATTTATCTGGAGCCTGGAAAGTCATAACCTTTCTTTCATATCAAACACCTCTTTAATCAAAGGCACTGAACATTGTCAACTGTAACATACATGGAATAGTTGTATTTAGGAAAGCTGAAGGTGGGGAAACTTGAAAGAAAATTCTGTTTCCATCAGAGATACATATATTAAACCCCTTAATTTCATCATAACTTAAACTTTGAAAGCCATACAGAACACAGTTTTTCAGTTACGTTTAAGTATTATAAATCATGTATTGTAAGCAACAATACTCATGTTCCCATTTATTATCATTTTCATTAGAATGACGGAATTCGAGAATGTGAAATTTACTCTTGTCAACAAGATTAAGACTGCATTTAATGATATAAGAAAATCTGATATATTCATCTTCACCAGTTTAGTACTGGGCAGAATAATATGATGGAAATAATAACATATCTTAAAGAAATATAATGAAGGTTTATATGGAAAATGAAGGTTTATATGGAAAATGTAACATATCTTACAAAAAAATTTAATGAATGCTGAAAATCTGGTATCTATTCATATTCCAGTTCAGTGTTGGATAGGATTATATAGCAAAAATTAATAATATATCTTAAAGAAATGCAATTACTATTGAAAATCTTATGTTAATGTTCGCCAGTTGAGTACAGGTAGAATTATATGGCAGTCCAAATGCCACATTGTGTCCACCACAAATCCCACATGACGAGGCCTGGGAAGCTAGCACAGGAGTCATGTAGTTGAGAATAAGGGGTCATGAGCTCTGTGAGAACAGTGCAGTGAGGTCGTGGGTTCCATGAAATGGTAATTTCTTCGGGCACTGAGCAGCTGTTTGCAGGGAGACAGCACAATGAACTTGGTCCTGATGTATGCCGTCAATGTAGAATTCGGTACCTGTAGGCAATAATGAATTTCATGGCAGTAAATGTACAGGTGGGTGGCTATAAGACGCAGTGGAGATTTCTCTGCGGCCAGGGACCATACAACAGTGCATATAAGTTCATTTTAAAATTTCCGTTAGTATAATGAAGCCTCTTAGCACATGTTTGCTGTGAGAAAATTCAGAGTTTCGGTCGAAGGCAAAACGTTTGCGCCAAGAGAAAA